GCAACACTAACAACCAATCACGCTCAATGTACGTACATGCCACATGGATAAATCCGCGCTGCTGGTTGGCTCACAGCCTTATGGCGCTGCTAGTTGGCTCACAGCCTAGTGGCGTTGAGTCTGTTATCCTTAGTGTTACTCCTCCCTCATTAGCGAACAGAATCGAATGAAATTTGACAGGTACCATTTACTTCGATTGTTACAATTTGATAAAAACAATAATAAAATAAGCACGAGTCAGTTTGGATTTCGTAAAAATCAATCAACAGTTGATGCTATATATATTTTACAGGCTCTTGTTAATAGAAGTTTAAAATAATAAAAGGAGATTGTATTGTTGTTTTATAGATTATAAAAAGGCATTCGACTTTGTTAAAGTTGCAATTTCATATTTTTAAGTTATATTTTTAAAATTTATTAAAATAAAGCCTTAAAATAGATGGTATCTATAAACAGTCCTACCTTGTTAAAGAATAATCCTATTAATCCTATAATTCACTATTGCCAGTTGAGAAATTGGCAAAAATATCATTTTCATTTTCAAACGTTTGAAGATAACTACTCCATGGTGGAGAATAGAAACAAGGGAGGTAATTGGGAGGTAATTGTGTTATTATTTCCGGTGTAAATGAGTTTTAAGTGTTAGAATGACACCTATGATCATATAATAGTGAGTTGACAACCTATTGAGTAATAAACATAGAAATAATTATGTTTTGACTTTCTTAGAAAATATGAAATTGTAACTTTAACAGATCTAAATTATGGTATAAATTAATTCATGAGGGTGTTAAAGGGAAGATACTTACAATTATGAGATCATTATATGACCCATTTCATCATGTCTATAACCAATAACACTTCAGATGAATCAGCGAATGAATATTGATAGGATTGAACAGAAATAATCACATCCTAGTGGAAAACTGTTCAGCTCTTTTAGGTTTTAAACCCCAGTTTTATGGAAAAAAACTACCTTTTAGTAACCATTTAGTTTAAGATGTTGCACATCTCTATATTCTTTTAAAAAAAACTTAATACTTAGTTTAAGATGTTGCACATCTCTATATTCTTTTAAAAAACAACTTAAAACTTATTTAATTAAACAAGCTTTTAACTGACTCTGTATAAGTTTCAACATTCAACAAGACTGCAGCATTGTTAGGCTTGAGAGCAGAGATGCCTGTGCCTACCTTCACTGACAGCGGGACAGAAAAAACAGAAGACAGTGAAAGACTGCATATGAAATTTTAATGAAACACGTTTATAGAGAGTGTAATAAAGCAAAATCCAAATTCACAAAGTGAAATTGATCACAGTAAATCTAAGCCACTCATCTGAAAATGACTGGTGTCAATCACCCAAACTTGTCTGGTAGAACCAAAGATATGACACTATCAATATATATTGCTGTGAATTTTTCGAGATATATTCAAATATCAAGATTAATAACATATGGCACATACAATAGGAAAACACCATAAAGTAATACGAAACATAATATTTAGCTAAATATTACCTAATAATGATGTCAAAAGTAACTGTCAAAAAACAACTTTTAGGGTAAGTTTCAACAAAAAAATCAAACATTAGAAATCAACAGCACTCAAAGACTGCCAGCCAATTCCCAATTTCATCGCTTATATATTGTGAACATTTCACACCTCTATATCAAGTTTGGAGAAAGCTGTTGCACAAAATGACTAAATCTGGCACAGGTTAAGTTGTCAAATATGGATTATAACGTAATATAACTATCATTAATACACATTATACAATGTATGTATTAACTACAAACACAAAAAACATGATAAATTGATGAGTTCAGTATTTTTTAGCAAGATTTACATCTTCCCCTTAAAATTTCATCTTTCTCTTTTGTGACTGCATAGCATTATGTACAAAATTCTTTACATCCCGCCAATAATATTTGGAGAGTTTTGTCATAAGTACTTATCACAGTCCAGTTTACTAACTCTCATTGTTCGAATGATTTCATTAATTCTTCATGTACCACCTGCTTCTCATATTCTGACCATGGCCTTATCACTGATTGTTTAGTTATGGTTTCAGGAGCAGGAGCAGAACTTACAATTCCTTAAAAATTGTGCAAAATATAATGGAGATCTATCTGAATATTTTGAAAGTAAAAAATGGATTATTTCAGGGCGAGGTCCTCTCTCCACTTTTATTCTCATTCTTCGTTAACGATTGTGAGTCTCAATTCATATCTGATAATTGTCCTTCGGTTAATATCCAAACACTTAATTTATCCCTTTTGATGTATGCAGAAGATAAGGTCATATTTTCAAAACAATTGAAGGCCTTCAAAAACTTTTAAATTCTCTATACAATTATACTCAGATATGGAATATGACCGTTAACACCGATAAGACAAAAATTATGATTTTTCGAAATGGGGGAAAGATCAAAACCACTGAGTCTTGGACCTTTAATAACGCTGATGTTGATATTGTAGATAATTTTAACTACCTCGGACTATTATTAAATTTCAATGGTAAATTCAACTCCACACATCGAAAATTAGCAGACCAGAGTAGAAAAGCTCTATTTTCAGTTCAAAATGTTTGTAATGATAATTATTTCAATGTTTTAACCAAACTTTCTGTATTTGATACTTACATAGCTACTATCTTATCCTACAGTTCAGAGATATGGGGATTTCACAAAGCAAGGGAGGTCAAAAAAGTTCATACTAATTATCTCAAAAGAATTCTGTTGACACGTAATTCTACGAATACCTGTATGTTATATTTCGAACCGGGCAGTTACCCATTAGAAATTACTAGTAAAATTAAAATATTTACATATTAAATTGGATTCGATTATGTAATACGGAAAACAATTTACTTCGCCAATGTTTTAAAGATATGCTTATAAATGACGACCCGTGGGTAATAAATGTTAAAACATGGATTATTTAAATTAGGGTTTGGTTATATGTGGGAAAGGTCATTTTATATGATTCGTAAATCCGATATTTTAATCAATAAAGACTACTCGTCATATTTAAACAAAAATGCTACGGGCAAATAAGACAATCATCTACGGGAGTTATATATAAATAAATCATTAATACATTTTCCTTGAATTTTTCCTAAATAAAACAAATTAATATTAAATACCGTAATCAAAATAACTAACAAAAGACTCTAACGCCATAATCTTAACATCGAAAAGGGAAGATATACTAAAATTAAAAGATGCGATAGAATTTGTGCATTTGTGAAATATCGTAGTTGTTCTAATCCATTTAAATCTTGGCCATCCAATGTTCTGGAGAGTCGGTTATAGTCTTGTCATGTGAACATTTAAATCTTGGCCATCCAATGTTTTAGAGAGTTGATTATAGACTTGCCATGGGGATACATTATTCAAGAGCTAAATTTGCCCATTGATGGTCTTCCTTTAGGCTTTAAATGTTATATAAATTATTAATTAGACATTTATTAACATGACAAGCCTATAATCAACTCTTGATGCCATCGGATGCTCGAGATTTTAACTAGATTAGAACGGTTTGGCCTAATAATGATTTAATTTAAAAATGGGAAAGCGAGGTTGAGACTCGAATATACCAGTACCGTGGTTACGGTAATAAGCGATCAATGCACACATCTTGTCAAAACTACAAGCAGTGATAAAGTAATTTGAATGAAATTTTTAATATATTCATATTACATTATCTATTTTCGACCTTTTATAGCAAGAACTGCCAGCTCTTTATCTAAATCGTACATAAGGTATCTTTAAAAGCTGAACTCCGATTACAAAACTAAAGAAATAATTAAATAAAAAAAAGTTAACGCCCTAAACAGTCGCCATACTTGTTATCAATTTGTAGAACAAGCATGGAGACTGGTTAGGGTGTATAAGAAGAGAAGCAGGTCACGGCTAGTATATTGTCTACAATATCACACTTGGTGGAGGTGGACATAAAACCCCAGGAAAGAACGAACGGCCAGTATATGACTTGTCAAGCAAACTGTCCACGCTCGACTGATTGACGTTTATCACTAACAGTTTACTGAAAATATTATTGCTACACAATTATTATGTCTGATCAGGTACATATTATTTTACTAATTAGATAAAATAAGTCAACCACGATGTTCTTTTGCTCTAAAAATATGAGAAAAACTGTGTTACCCCAAACAATAACAACTCTGCCAACGCCAACAAATTGTTCTTACTTCGTGAAATGTTTTGCATCATAAATTCTAGTATTATGGTTTCAAAATATAAACAAAGCAGCAATAAAACTATTCTTCCCTCCATCAAATAGATATGTTTGGCGTTGGCAGAGTTGTTATTGTTTTGGTAAGGCAGTTTTTAGAGGAAGAGTACATAGTGGTTGAGTTATTTTATCTAATTAGTAAAATAATATGAACCTAATTAGACATAATAATCGTAAAGTAATATTTAGTGAAAGGAACGTCAATCAGTCGAGCGTGTAGTAGGTAATTGGTAGTTGAAATATAGCTGGACGGTGTGCTTGACAAGGCATATACTGGCCCGGCTTTTCTTCTTATACACCCTTATCAGCCGCCATGATTGTTCTACATATTGAAAACAAGTATGGCGACCTTTTTTTCATTTAATTATTTCTGTACTTTTGTAATCGGAGTTTAGCTTTAATAATTCATATACAATTTGAAGCAAAAATAAAGACCTGCAAAAGGTATATTTAGCTGTTACATAATGTATCTTTAACCAATGTAACAAGACACCTCTACTTAACACAGGTGTTGATGGGGAAAGGTTACATTAATATTTTTGTCTTCGTCTTCTAAACAAATACATAGATTTCAACTTAAATTGTCAAATATGTTGACTGAATAGAGTGACTCCACTGAAGTTGATCGACTCTATTTCTTACTGAGGCTTAGAAAACGAAGCTATTAATAGACATGTGTCATAGCCTGGCAACCTTGAACCTATGTTTGTTATTGATGCAAAATTGTTTGTTTTATTTTCAGAATCAATTTGCTGAATGTTTTGCCAAGTTTTTGATTCTATGTATTGTAATGGTTATTACAGAAGGTAAGAACTTGTTGATTAAAGCTTATCTGAAAGGAAAACTGAGAGGTTGAGCATATTTGATAACTCGGGAACGGGAAGTCACAGAGCGCTTTGTATTGATCCTGTCATGACCCTAATGCTTCCCAGGAAATTTGACAGAAATACGTCAGATAGTATAGCCTCATATGGTATCACAAGGTTTTGAAAAAAAGGGGATAACTCTGTATTGGAAGTCGCAGACCGCTAAACAATCGATAGGATTCATCCTTTTTCATAGCCCCAAAGCTTCCCACCAAATTTGAAAGATGTCTGTTGCCATGTGGACGGGGGATACAAAAACAGTACTCATCCTCTCCGTGTTTAAATACTTCACATTGAATAAATCTGTTACGAACTGTAGCCTCTGTCAAGCACCCTAACCCAATCCCTAACCTAGAACTAAATCTCACGGATCTCTGACTATCGATAGGATTCGTCTTCTTGTGACCACGATGCTACACAAACTAGGTCATTTTGGGTCTAATATATGGTTTAATTTTGTCAATAATTAGACTGCGCGTAGGGGTCTTTGGCAGTGGGAGAAAACCCACGAGTCTAGAGAGACGACCCTACTCCTTGTCACATTCAAGCGTGAATTCGAAACCACACCACTTGACTCAATGACAGACCGTCTGATACAAGGCGTACGCTTTAACCATACGCCGCACCCCCTCGCTCTCCCCCAAAACGAAAGGCTGTAGAACGCTGAATATTGGTCGGGTTCTCATAAACCACATGCTTCACACCACATCTGATACAAATCGGTTACACACTGTGGCCGCTATCGTATTTGACAAGGTGACAAGGGATAAGACAAAAAACCGAGGTCCTGTGTACACTTTGGCATGTATACTTAAAAGATCTCTTGGCAGTTAGAATTCGATTTTAGACTAGGCCATGACACTGCTGTATTGTGTATACCTGCCTGTATCAATGTAATGTGTTTATCCCAGTCGGAGCAGAACAGTAGGACTAGAACGTTAAAACTGCTTTCTTTTGTTTCAGGTCAAACGTACAACGGTCAATAATTTTAGTAAGATAAACGGTTTACATTCTTCTATTATATTTATATCAGGTCAAACATACAATAATTGTACCTGCCTCCTTTCTTATATTTACAGGTCAAACATACAGTTTATCAGGATCAGCACCATATGGTATTAAAGGAGGCGATTATAGATTTACATGTCTCTTACTTCTGTTACAGGTCAAACATACAGTTTATCAGGATCAGCACCATATGGTATTAGAGGAGGGGATTATAGTTTTACATGTCAGTTAGTTGGTGATAATTTTATAACCACTGATATTGTCGTGTTTAACAGGAACAATCTCCCAGTCTGTAGACAAACATTGAATTGTATTCCTAGTCCATCATCTGAACCTAACAGATATACATGTGGTTGTATCAATGGTAACATGGCAACACTGTATTTTAATATAACAAGTGTTACATCAAATGATGACTTTAACTGGACCTGTGGAGATAGCTTTAATACGACCCTCAGTCCACCTTTAACCCTTCCGGTTTATTGTAAGTTTATTTTTTACTGACATTGAAAAATTGAAAACTTTGTTTAGCCAGTACAACTAAATACGGGAAAAGATGATGTGTTCACTTTTAAAACGTTTACGTCAGTCTGCTACATGTAATAATGGTGACATTTTATGACTAAGCATCATTAGATAGTATTAAAATACAGATGTGACGTCATCATTTGATGTTGGCGTACCATTTTTTCAAATAATCGTACGGACAATGTGCCAACTGTAACTAGTTCAAATATTGAACCTGAGTGACGTATTTCATTGCAAAGCACGTGCAAGTGTCTGTATTTTAAGTTGTTTAATGGTCTCGAGCTTAAGACATTGCGCAATATATTGTAAAAACACTCGGGCCTCGTTGCAAAGCACATGCAAGTGTCTGTATTTCAAGTTGTTTAATGGTCTGAGCTTTAGACATTGCGTAATATATTGTAAAACCACTCGGGCCTCACGGCCCTCTTGTTGTTACAATATATTACTTTATGTCTCGCTCTCGACCATTAAACAATACTTACTGTGAGTTAAGCGACGTTTATATGTAACAACTACTGATAACTAAAATTATTCTTATTATTCTATACCCCTGAGGTCTATCTGATGCGATTGGTCATCTGATTGGTCTCGAAGACTGTCAGCGATATCGACCAATCGCATCTGACCAACCCATTATACAAATTATTATTATTACTATTATTACAGCATATTTATAAATTCTTTCAACGGTATTTAGTAGAGCAATGCTTATGTGGAAATCTGTTGAACGGTTTCATTGGTACCTGACATCCATTTTCTAAATTCATTAATACAATTCTCAAGTTGCAGTTTTGATAAATTGAAAGAAGACGGGCAATGAGGTATAAATGAAATATATAATTGAGTATGCAGAGGCGGATCCAGGATGTTTTGCAGGAGGGAGTTTGGCAAGTTCTTGAGATAATGTATCTTTTTTGGGGGTAGGAGGTGGGGCGTAGTGGTGGGGCGTGTGTATTCCGTCCATGCACATTTTTGAGTAGTACATGGTCTCTATGTCATTTTGCTTATATCTGGGGTAACCAGAAATCACTCTGACAAAACCCAGAAACTCGGATTTTATATAAAAACATATAATATTTTTTGTAGCTGAGCCGGGATGGAGGGGTGGTGGTGATGGATGGGGGACCGGGGTAGGGAGGGTGTACCCACAACACGCCTCTCCCACCCCTAAGGATCCGCCCCTGGTATCATCCGGCTCAGATTTATGTCAGTATGTCAGTAATATTCCTATAAAATTACGTGGGAAAGCGTGCCGACCCGTACCGACTTCAAATTCACGCCAAATCTGAACGTAATAAAAGAAAAGGTGGACCTTGCTATTTTTAATATTTTAATATCAAATTCCCATACGGTATTCATATTTAGGCCAGTAATATTCCTCCAAAATTACTTATTTTTGTAATTCAGTTGAAGTAAGTTAAGACAATATTTTCTGACGATATCGCCTAAAGGGTAAATAATATTGGACCAAGACCAGAACCTTGAGGAACTCAGATGATAAAAAAGTTTCAGATGACGTTTTACAATTAAGTAACATACATTGTTTTTTACCACGATGCTGTATATTTGTATTGTTATCATTTGTCATAAGTTATAGTAATTAAAGATGGAAGAACCACTTTATACTTGATACTTATTGATGGACCAAGTGGTTTTATATTTTGGAATTTTGGAATTCTTTCATTTAATGTTGTTTCCACAAGCAGCCCATGAATAAATAAATGTAATTTATAATTTAAGTGGCTAGTTGAGTGAGTGCGAGTTCATAGTGGTAATATTTGTAGATGTAGCTTGACCTCAATAATGTTGAAATCATAAATTATATCCAACGGACCAAAAACTGGTACAAAATATCAATCAATTAGTAAACCTTAAACCATGCATGACGCCTGTTATATATCTATTGAGTGGTCTAAATTATGTCCAGTGGGTATGTTCTGTTTAAAGTTATTTTTTGTATTTTAACAGATGGACCAGAGAAAATCAAATTTACACCACCCAGTTCTAGTATAACAGTGATAGAAAATAAAAATGAAAGTAAAACGGTAAACTGTTCAGCTGACTGTAATCCACCATGTAAAATCAGCTGGTATAAAGATTCAACTATGATATCATCTACCGGTCGTCTCTCACTGAACAACATCCAGAGACAACAAGCTGGTAATTACACCTGTAAGGCTCAACACAACACTATCGTCAACAAAAAGCAGACTAAAGTATTACACATAGCAGTTTATTGTAAGTATTACCCTACTCACTACAGATAACAGTTTATTGTATATATTACCCTACTCGCTACAGATACAAGTTTATTGTATATATTACCCTACTCGCTATAGATAACAGTTTAGTGTAAGTATTACCCCACTCACTATAGATAACAATTTATTGAAAGTAATACCCTACTCACTATAGATAACAGTTTACTGTAAGTATTACCCTACTCACTATAGATAAAAGTTTATTGTAAGTATTACCCTACTCACTATAGATAACAGTCTATTGTAAGTATTACCCTACTCACTATAGATAACAGTCTATTGTAAGTATTACCCTCTCACTATAGATAACAGTTTACTGTAAGTATTACACAGTGTATTATAATAAATGTGTTTGTAGGTCCGACTATCATTAGTTGATTAACCAACGGGTTAATGATGAATGTAAATAGTGTATATTATTTAATTGGTGTGTTTTCTCGATAGTTGTGATAACTGCACCAAAAGGGTAAAATGAAGGACCAACAAGCTTTATCTGACACGTGCTTGTTAAATCAAAATTTTGCAGTAAAACTGCTTTCTTAACTGTGCGATTTCTCATTCGACCGTTTGTTTTACGCGGGTCTTTAGATGGGTGGTTTTGCTGACGAAAATACACACCAATTAAACAACACACACTGACATTCATTTTTAAAGGACAATATTGGTGCCAGTCATTATCATATATGATAGAACTGGTTAAACACGTTCCAAATATTATTTTATCACATCGATCATTGCTACGATAGATGCGTAATCAATGTTTCAACAATCGGAAGTGACGAACGCAAAAGGAAAACACGAGTTATCCGTCTATATAACTGACTGAAGTGACGGGTGAAACCAGATACATGGGCGAATTTCTGCTCAATAATAATTCCTTTAAAGACCAAAAAAAATTGACTGTCACTAGATAAGAGAAAAATAGGAAAAGTCCGTGCATTACCATGTTTTTAAAAGTATAGAATGAACAAGCACGCGTGAATGTACGGACTGTTTCTATTTTCCTCGTGTTCTCTTATCTAATGACATTCAATTACTTTTTTGAATTGTCAGATATACCCTTACAGTCTCATATAAAAACTTTTGGTTTTCGAAAGAATTATTGGTGAGCAGAAATTCGCGCATGTACACTGAAAAAAAACTTGTGTTGGATCTCAACACAAGTACTTGTGTGAAAATTATCCTACACAAAACTTGTGTTGTTTTGCATTGCATTAACACAAACTTGTGTTCTTTTTAATGCATTAACACAAATCTTGTGGGTTTTTTCATATAATTAACACAAGTAATGTGTACCGTCAACAAATATTTTTTTTTTAAATTTGAACTCCATACAAAGTCTTAATCCGGGCGTCCACAAGTATAAGAAAAGTATTTTTTACTCAGACATGATGGCCAGACAGACTTGAATGCTAATTGGTGTTAAGATGTCTGTAGTTAAAATAAAGTTGTTGATTTTTTATGGGCCCAATAAACTGGTAGATCAAAGGCCTATTGAGCGCTCATGCCCGGTGTGATTTTAACAATTGACTCCAAATGCATTGACAAGAAAATAAGTAAAACTATTATTTAATGTGATTGGTTGATAAAATCAACGTACTATAGGCTACAGTTTGTCTGCGATATCATCTCTGTGCAACCGGACATTAAATGAATTGATTTCACAAAATTCATTTACCATTTAACAGCGTGCTGAAATGATTTTTGAGCAGTGATATGTTTGACAAATGTAAGCTAATGGTCACAGAGAATAAAAGACCGCAGGTTTGTGAATATTTATATAAAAAAAAATAATACCATTTATTTTATGATCAGTAGTGGAATACCGCGTTTTATCAGTGAAATAAAAGTGTTATTCCACTGGCTAGTTGTTTTTACCTAAAATGATTGTAAAATCATAAAATAAATAGAACATTACGCATTCGTGAAAATATAAGTTTTCTTGCTTCTCGATGAAATAAAATATGTTATTCACTCTAAAACGACAAATATCCTCTATGTATGTAATTTAGCATCGATATTGTTTTTGTGTATAATATTAGTATTTCGTTTCCTTAAAAAAACTCCAACAATTTAACCCGGAAGTTCATGTTTAAAATGGCGGGCGGGGACGACAGGGAAAAAATTTCGGCATGTTATTATCAAATCTGTTCAATTTTTCTGAAATCGTGCTTAATTAACATTAGTTGTTCGGCGCTACGATGTTGTTCAAATACGTACATTACAGAATCACATTATGATTATACCAGAAACGGCTCGACTTGAACCAGCAGGTAAGAATCTGTTTTGAAATTATATCTTGGGAGGTTGGATTGGATTGGCGGCCATTTTGATTCTTGTTTCATGATTTTTTATATTATAAAGATTTTGCCAAGAGTAGACATAAACGCGGGCACAGACTAGAAAAAATCTTTTTACACTTTTGTGTTAGTTGAATTGTAATCTAATTTATGTTTAAAAAAACAACCTTAAATCAAATAAGCAGATATTTTCCCCAAACCCTCCGTTCAACCTCTGACTCTGTCACTCTGTGGAATATTATTAGGCCCCTATTTTCCTGATTCAGTCACAGTTAATAAATAATAAATAATGGAACTAGAATCAGTCTGTGGAAGTTTCTCTATAGTTTCATTATTTTTTCCAGTCAGTGATGATATGACTCATTCCACCATACAGTTACAGCAATTACCGTATTGAGAATTTACCGTTCAAGGACTCCATTTTGGCATTGAATTGGAATTTGAAGAAAAACTGGTAACAATTTCATTTAATTTTTATATTTTCTATTTTTTTTTTACCAATGTCCTACAATGATTAGTGTATGTGAACATACAATCCCAAGTAAAGTATTTATATGACACTTACATGCAACAGAGAGAGAAAAATGACATAAACAAGGCCTTACGTGTACTTGTATTTGAAGAATCAAGTAGTCCAAGCTATGCCTATATGCATACCGGTAATCAACTACGACGACGATTAGCTTTCTTCCGTTTCCACCCTTTCCCTGCACACTGTTCCATTCTACTTAGCCTACAGACGCTAGGTCGTTTCGGGAAAAAGGACAGGTAAGGTTAAATTTGATATGAATAATTCGTTTGCTGGTATGGGTATTTAGCAAACGGAGGAAACCGAATGGCCCAGAGAAAAACTCAAGAGATTGGACAGGCGACTCTACTCCTTGAAATCGAAACCATGCCACTTAACACAATGACAGACCCTGTGATTTCATGTGAATGCATTAACTACTAGACCATTCCCCCCCAGCCCCACCCCATATTGAATAAAAGTATGGCTTATTTCAAATATGATATTTACATATAAAGAAAGTAGAGAGACTTCAATCTTACTAGAAAAATACTAGATTACCTGAAATGAAATGGGGTTTAAAGACAACGTCCTACTGTTCAGCTCCGACTGGTCTAATGCAGTGTGCTAAGAGAAAATGTTTGTCCGGGCAGCGACACTATGGCCTACTCTCATAGCGAATTCAAACTGCCAAGAGAACTTTTATGTGTACGCCAATGTGTACATTGGATCTCAGGGGAAACCACTCTGAAAAATCAAGATGAGCTTTCTCGGTCAACCCCAAGAGGTAACCTGTGGCCTCCATGCTAGTATTCCAGCACCTAACTCACTCAGTCACCACGGTCGTCTTCTAATAACTGCGACATTGAAACCATGTGACAAACAAGGATTATAAAAATAGATTTTTACGGCTTAGGTAGTTCCTTGGGATTAAAATTTTTGATACATATAGATACATTAGTTTCAATTTCAAATCACAGTTTGTATATATGGTATGGTAGCTTTAATGGTAAATTACATATCATGTATTTATTTTTTCAGTTTCAATATTGGATGTATATGCAAATAAATGGAAGAAGAAATGGCTGGAAAAAATGATGATAGAGCAGCTTTTTCTTGGTGGGTAACTATTCAATTCTTATAGAAAAGATTGCTGTTATGCTATTTTGAAATCTAAAATTCAGTTTAGTATAGTAAAACTGTACACGTACATGTATGAGCACAGACAGAATCTTAGTTAGATATGACCGTCTCATCTGTGGCAAAGCAAACCAACACATGAAACAAAACAAATGTAGTTAAATTAACATTTTTTGACTTAATCAAAACTGTCTAGTCAATTTAAGCCAACTAATGTAATACATTGCATATTTTTTTTCAGTTAGCCACCTCGGAAGATCAAGACAGCTGGAAAGGGCTATTGATATTGTGGAAGTGTTTTCTTACAGAGGTTGCTTATCAGACAAAGGCAATGTAAGTACCATGCATATTTGCTTTTTGAATCAGGAACTGGTTCTATACACTTGGTGGGGGGGGGGGGTTGGATGGCCGAATGGTTAGCATGTGCGTGCTGTATCATACGGCCTGTCATCCTCGGTTGTACGTGACAAGGAGTAGGGTTGCCTGTTCAACCTCGTGGGTTTTCTCCAGGTCCTCCGGTTTCCTCCCACTGCTAAAGACATATATGACTTCAAAACTATAAGATGGATGCAATGTTACACCCTTTCATAATCATTATTATAAAGCGTTCAAATGCATGAATTTGTAAAATATAATTAATATCATATTGTAATACTGTTTGCAATACTGTATTCACCACTGCCTTAGTGGAGATAATTGGTAAATTAAATGATTATTTTTTCATTTTGTCTTTTTTTCAAGACTTTTGTTCTGGCTTCTGACCCATTGAGTCATAACAATCTACCTGGGTCTGTAACTTGAAAAGACACAATAAGTATTATGCAAAGTTGAAACAAAATAGAGACTCAACGTGTGGAAAAATAAGTTATTTATTTAAAAATTGTGAACCGTAGAAAGTATATTTATTGCCAACTCAACCACATACTATCATCCAGGGTTTATGGACCTACTTATAGTCCAACCTTCGACGATGGGTTGTATGTTCAATCTAGTTGGAGGTGTACGATTGAACATACAATAATTCAATAACTCACTTCTCTTAGTATAATCTTATATTCTGTAACAATATCTAACAAAGATAATATATACATATAATACTGACCCACAGGATAGGTAACTTAATAAGGAACAGCATCTAAGAAATAACTAGTCACTATATCAGAGACCTGCCCTTCAGTATGTCCTGCTGCCTGCCTGTGGTTAACTCGCCTTTTTCTAATATATACAATTTTTAGGACTTTTATACCTTAGCTTTGTTTTTAGTTACAATATAATCCTTAATACCTTACTGGAATAACTTTACAATAGATAATAATTTATGAAACAATGTCTCTCTAATATAATTACAGAGTTTATTTTAATTAGGATTCTGGCTAATCTATAATGGATCTGGCCTCAAATTAACTATGCTCTAATTCTACCTGTACATAATACTTGAATATTAAGCCATCAAATTATTTTATAATTTTGAAAATGAAATGAAATGGGGTTTAACATCCTACTGTTTTGCTCATAAACTGGGCTAATGAAGACGGGCATACACCATACAGTGTGCTATGAGGGAAATTTTGCCCGGGCAGTGGCGCTACAGCCTACTCTTATATCGAATTCCAACTTGCCATGGGATCTTTTACATGCACGCCAATGTGTACACAGGACCTCGTTTTTTTTTTATCCCATCCAAACGACTAAACAGCTGTCCTTGTCAGGTCCTCCGTCCTGTATCACTGACAAGGGGAAGACACGTCGGAAAATCTGGATGAACTTTCTCAGCCAATTCAGGGATCGAACACCCGACCTCCAGGCTAGTGAGCCAGCGTCGTACCCTCTTAGCCATGTGATCTCCTTATAATTTTGAAAAAGAATATAGTGATTGTAAAAGCTAATAAGTTATCAGTTGCATTTTATTTTTGTTTTTAATGTTAAATATCCCTCTCAAACACAATTATATTTTAATTCTCTCCAGAAATTTGTGTAAAATATAGACTGTAAATTAAAACTTTTCCAGTTAACTACATCAGAAAGATAAAAACAGTTGGAAATGGCTATTCATATTGTGGAAACTTTTCTCACAGAGCTTGATAATCAGGCAAAATGTAAGTAACATACATATTTGTATTTTTAATCAGGAAGTAGTTTTATACACTTGCTTGGTAATCTAGTTATTCTTCTTGGGGCAATGCCTAGGACTCAGCTATTTCAAGTACTTGGCATGCTTGATTTTTGCCAATCACATCCATTGATTTCCTTCAAGTTATGATAGGGCCTATGTGTATTTTTACAGTAAATAGCAGTAAAATAATGATGGACAATATTTTACTTTTCAAATAGATTTCAATAGATTTTAAAGGGTAATATCCAATTTGTTGTCAATGGAAATAAAATAAGAATGGGTCCAAAAATAATTAGACATTGCCAAGTAAATAGGTGCTGCCAATGATGTAGTAGGGAATCTGGATTTGCAGACAATACATGTATGAACCGGGTGAATAGTTGACCTATTATGAGACTTCAGTCCCAAATCTCAAGACTTTTTTCTGACTTGGCCTGACAAAGACAGCTGTCTAGTCCTTCCGATGAGACGAATATTGGAATGCACGTAAAAGATCCCCTGGCAGTTGGAATTCGATATAAGAATAGATGATAGTGCCGCTGCCCGGGCAAAAATTCCCTCATAGCACACTGTGTGGCATATGCCCGTCATTATTAGCCCAGTATAGGAGCAGAACAGTAGGACGTTAAACCCCATTTCATTTCATTTTTCTGACTTTTAACCCATTTGATTTGAGCATAATAATCTGCCTGGGTCTTTAAGTGGACAAGACACAATAAGCGTTACGCAAAGTTGAAACCAAATAGAGACTCAGTCTCGATGTGGCAAAATAAATTGTTTATTTAAACATTGTATTCTTATTGCCTACTTTTTATTTTTTAGGCTGGAACACCCTTGACAGAGTATTTGATGTATGATAACAACAAGAGAACCCAAGCATCAATTTATTTTATACTTCTGGGAAAGAATGCATTTGACCCAATTTTTAAATATTTATTTTTTGTTATTAATGTTAAATTTTCTTCCAAAACACAATTAGATTTTAATTCTCTTCAAATATGTATGTATAATATAGCAAGTAAACTGACATATAAATCACTTAGAATTTGGTCGGAAATCATAAAGTATTTAATAGGCATTACTAGAAACCAAATGTAGATCAAATACACCCAGAATTACAAAAAACCTTGACCTACATTAAGGTGACTTTCCCTTGCTTATGAAATGAAATACGTTTTAATATCCTGCTTTTCTGTGTTCTTAGAGTGATTCTACCCTACCCTTATATCAAATATTTCAACTGTCAAGGGTTCTTTAAAGGGTACCCAGGGGGGCCGAATGGTTAACACGCACACATTTGATCAGAAGGTCTGTCATTGATTCAAATAATTCAATTTTCAAGGGTTCTTCAAAGTGTACGCAGTTGGGTTGGTTTCGATTCTGGGGGGTGGGGGTGGATGGCCGAATGGTTAGCACGTGCATGCTGTATCATACGGCCACCTGTCATTGAGTCAACTGGCATGGTTTCGAATCCCCGGTTGTAGACAAGGAGTAGGGTCGCCTGTCCAATCTTGTGGGTTTTCTCCGGGACCTCCGGTTTCCTCCCACTGCTAAAGACCCCTACGCGCTAGCGAATTATTGAAATAAAATTAAACCATATGTTAGTCCCAAAATGACCTAGTTTGTGTCGAGTAGACGTTAAACCCCATTTCTCTCTGTCTCTCTCTCTTTTGATTCTGGGCTTGTACCCAATTATCCCTTGCCATATCCAACACTGAAAAGTGGGAACTATGCCGGAAAATCCAGTTGAAATTTCTGGGCCAACGCCTTATGCTCACTGAACCACTGTGACTTATGACTTGTGATTGTATATAAATCTTTTGTACATATGATATTTTTTTATTTCAATCCTGTAATCTTGATGCTTTGCTTCTTTTATTTATAAAATATTCATTTTGTTTGGGTTTTTTTTAATGAGGAAAAGGCTCTACATCATTTTATTACTCCTGCAAAATAGAGCAATTTTCTTTTGTTAGTTTTCTGTGTATGCTAGTTATTTCTAGATGCCTCACAAATCACTTGTAGTGTGATTTTGTAGCATTTTTCAGTTTTTGAAATTGTTTCAATTTAGTGCATAATTAATCTTATTAGTGCTTAGTTTGGATGTTATTAAATTTAGATATATTTGAATTATATATTTTGGGGTATGGGGTAGGGATACTGTGTACATATCTTTATATTCTCAGTTCTTGTTTTGGGGTAAAGAACAATTTAAATAGCTATTTTATATTTTGTGATGGGTAAAGTGGGGGGGGGGGGGAGGGGTCATTATATATAACACAATATAATTTGTATTAGAATTGAAGTCTCTGTTTTTCTGTTAACATTTCAAATATCTATTTAGTTTTGATGTATTAATTTACTTTTTCCTATGATTTTATGAATAAATAATAATTTACAAAAATTTTTTTTGTTTCCTTCTTTTATCAAACTTTACAGGTCTAACAGAGCAAAGAGAGGGGTCCTGCATAGAAAGGTTGCTATGCTGGATATAAATTGGGAAAAAATACAACACAAGTTTTTGATGATGGTTATACACAAGTTTGTATGAAACCACACAAGTTTCAGAAATTTCAACACAAGTTTCAGAAATTTTAACACAAGTTTCAGAAATTTCAACACAAGTTTCAGAAATTTCAACACAAGTTTCAACACAAGTATTGTGTAGATTTCACACAAGTTTCAACACAAGTTTTGTGTTATTTGATACATTTTAACACAAGTTTTGTGTTGTTTCAACATTTAACACAAGTTTTGTGTTGTTTTAACACAAGTTTGTGTTGTTAAATAGAGACACCTAACTTGTGTTGAATTTAACACAAGTTTGTGTTGTTTCAACACAAGTTTTTTTTCAGTGTATCTGTTATCACCCGTCACTTCATTCAGCTATATAAAGGGATAACTCGTGGTTTCCTTTTGTGTTCGTCACTTTCGATTGTTGAAACATTGATTACGCCTCTATCATAGCAATGATCTCTGTGATAAAATAATATTTGGGACGTGTTTAACCAGTTCTATCACATATTTGATAATGACTGGCACCAATATTGTCCTTTAACTCCCGCCTGTCAATTAATACACACCTGTACAGATAAAGCACTGTCGCTCAGTATTTTAACCGTAAAGCCAGGCACAGACGGGCAACTTTTTCGAGCAACATTCAGGCAACAGTGAAATCGCTGGTCGTTGAAAGAAAAAATCGCTCGTCTGCGCCAACGGGCAACAATAGTTGCCTGCTGTTGCTCCGAGTTGCTTCTCGTTGCCAAATATCAAACATGTTTGATATTCGACAACAGAAATTCGATCGTCGCCGAGAAATTGTTCATCTGTTGCTTCAAAATTGCTCGTCTGCGGTAGGCGACAACAGGCAACAAGCAACTGGTTAACTGTCCAATCAGCGAGCGCTCTACTGTCATGTGATACTTCAAGATGGAACAGCTAACAACATTAACATGGTCCGTGGAGATGGAAGACATGTTGGTGGAAATGTGGGCTGAGCGGCCAGTATTGTATGATGTAAGCTCAGACGAGTATTCGGATCGTGCAAAAAAACATGGCTGTCTCAGTGAACTGGCCTTTCACTTCGAAACGACCGGTAAAGTATGTTTGTTTTTCTCCGGTACTCGTTGCCAGTCAGCGCACACGGGAGACCTCGAGTTGCCAATTGCTCAGAGTTGCCTATTGCAGCAACAAGCGACGAAAAGTTGACCGTCTGCGCCAAGCTTTAGCGATGATTAATTCACCTCTCAGTCAACTTGCACCCCCTTGTTAATTAACACACCTTATCTATAGTTTTAAAGCGATATTGACAAGTTATTGTCCTGAATTGAATGTGTGTTTCCATACACCCACAAAAAACACCATAGATCGAGAGTTATATACTTAGGACGTACCATACTTAGTTCCCAGTGACACCAGATTCTTCTTCAAATTCGATAAGAAATGAAATGAGGTGTAACGTCCTACTGTTCTATACGGAGGTAGAGAGATGGGGTTTAACGTCCACTCGACACAAAGTAGGTCATTTCAGGACTAACATATAGTTTAATTTTATTTCAATAATTCGCTTGCGCGTAGGGGTCTTTAGCAGTGGGAGGAAACCGGAGGACCCGGAGAAAACCTACGAGATCGGACAGGCGACCCTATTTCTTGTCACGTACAACCGGAGATTCGAAATCACACCAGTTGACTCAATGACAGGCCGTATGAAACAGCACATGCTAAACATTCGGCCATCCACCCCCCCCCCGTTCTGTACGGACATGGCCAATGAATACAAGCATACTCCGTACAGTGTGCTATGAGGGAAATTTTGCCCGTACAGTGGCAGTAGGGTCTACTCGTATTTCGAATTACAAATGTTTTAAGAGTTCGTTTACATGCACATCAATATGTACACGAGATCTAAGTTTTTCGTACCACTTGCACAATTATACATTCTCTTGTCAAGCCTTCTGTCCTCCAACTCTGATGAATTTTCTCAGTCAACACTTAGATCCAACACGAGACCTCAAGGTTAACTAGCCAACGTCTTACACTGAGTGCACTGATCCACCGCAGCACCCTGGGGTAGTGAGAAGATTTTGCCGTTCATCTCTTCCAATATGTACACATAACTTGCATGACAACTGCTTGTTCTCTGTTGACTTGAAATTCTTGGGTGGTAGACAAATATACCACTCCATTCAATTGATGACACTATTTTAATTTCCTAATCATATTGACTTTAACAGATGGACCAGAGGATATCAGATTTACACCAACAGGCTCTCGTATAGAAGTGATAGAAAATGAAAGTAGAAATGTAACTTGTTCAGCTGACTGTAGTCCACCGTGTAATATCAACTGGGAAAAAGGATCTGCTCGTAGTGGTAGTAAAGGTCTTCTCCCACTGAACAACATCCAGAGACAACACGCTGGTAATTACATCTGTCAGGCCACAAATACAGAGATACCGGGCTTACATCAATCTAAACAACTGATGGTTATAGTACATTGTAAGTTGGTGACATTTATATATTTGTAATTTATTGTTATACAGGATATTTATTTTATATTAAAGTACCATGTGTATGGTTGTTATATAGTATTGAATCATTCTTTAGCTATTACATGTTTAACTTCCATCTCTATGTATAGTATAGTGTAGGTTACTATATAGAGTAGACATGTATGTATAGTGCAGTGTAGGTTACTATAGAGTAGACGTGTATGTATAGTACAGTATAGGTTACTATAGAGTAGACATGTATGTATAGTGCAGTGTAGGTTACTATAGAGTAGACGTGTATGTATAGTACAGTCTAGGTTACTATAGAGTAGACATGTATGTATAGTGCAGTGTAGGTTACTATAGAGTAGACATGTATGTAAAGTGCAGTGTAGGTTACTATAGAGTAGACGTGTATGTATAGTACAGTCTAGGTTACTATAGAGTAGACATGTATAGTACAGACTAGATTACTATGTCTACTTCTATATACATTGTAATCCCCAGTATTCACCATTACAATCAAACTATACTATCTAACAATAATAAACACCCTGTGACATTGTCTATTTATCTTTATAATTATTCTGAGATGAGTTAAATTTAACTGGTAATCAGATTGGTTTAATAGTACATGATAAAGTGATTAAAATGGCCAATTTTAGTTTAGTGGGAAAAAATACATGCTTTTAGAAATGATACCATACAAATGAAAGATGAAATATATATAACTGTTTGTTCAGAATGATAAGTATGATAAGTAAATTTACATTAATTTCAGATCCACCAACCATCACAAGTCTAACATCAGATGCTACCAACAATATAATAGATGAAGATTCTACTGTAACCTTCAACTGTTCAGTTGACAGTCTTCCATCTTCAGATATATCCTGGTCTAGATCACAACCAGGGGAACAACTCTATTCTGGTAGTCAATATACCATATCTAAAGCTAGTTGTCAACATACAGATAACTATACCTGTACAGCTAGTAATACGATTGGTCAACCTGTATCTAAAACTATTCCACTCCATGTTACATGTAAGTACAGCGCAATATTTTATACCATTAAAAATCGTTTTAATATCTGACACAATAAGAATGCAATTCCTTTTCTTTTCACCTCTATAGTATAGTGTTACGTTCGCGCATACAATAACCCTACCAGGTTTACTATTCTGACATTGTCGGTGAGAGGACTGAGTTAACTATGCATGAACAAATATATAATTATCTACATTTGAATTCCAAATCTAAAGTTTTCTTTAAAGGATGTAATAAGTAATAGTTGCTGTGCACATGACATGGTATGACCACTCCATTTGGATATAGTTCAGCAGCTAAACTTACTACATAAAAACAGGTTAATCATTCAAATGTGGATATACGAATCACTATTGACACAAATACTCCTCAGGGACTATTCGTCTGAAAAAAAACCTCATGACTCAATCCGAGACGACTGTCGGTTTTTAAGATGGCCGACTTTCAGGAAACAAAATGTAATTTTGTGCGATGAAATCACGTTAAATTCTCCTATCTTATTGATCCGTATAACTTATAATTTAAGTTTCACTAAATTGGACAATATTTGATGGCTCTAGCCGGTCCACAAACTTTGTACAATTCACATTTTGCATAAAAGACAAGTGCCATAACCCAAGAAGTTGTCGTCTGATGCAGACCACAATCAAACTCCTCCAGGTGATCGGATATCCTTAGTTTCATCTGAATCAGGTCAAATATTGTTGTCTCAAGATCTCCCACGACCTTCGTACATATTTCACAATGTAACAGGTAGAGGGCCATAACGTTGCTTCTGACCTTGAATGGACACCCACATAGGTTTTAGGGTTTGTATCCAGATTTGAAAGATTTGTAGATGTATTGTAATAACTCTAGGTTCTCCGAGAGAAACACAATAACCAAGACAAACATCATCAATAGTATGAATATTGTCAAACCAGAATGAATAATGATGTCATGTCTGTATTCCAGGTTCTCCAATAGAATACACAAGAACAACGGAAAACATTACTTAAAGAATAAATACAACAACATATCTAGAAGTTAATTAATATAATCTTATTTCTATATTCCAGGTTCTCCTAGAGAAAACACAGTCACCAAGATACAAATCACTAATAGAATAGATGCAACAATAACTCTACAAGTTGATATAATCGCCTACCCTCCACCAACCTTCACCTGGTACCATACATCTACCAGACAGATAATAAATTCAGCTAGAACACAACAACTATCAACTATAAACTATAAATCAACAGTAGAGATAACTCTAAACTCTAATCTATTTGGTGATTATATAGTATCTGTAGTCAATGATATTGGTATTCAGAACTTCACTATTACAGTTATTGATGGAGGTAAGGGCTATTAAAACTTGATTATGTTAAAGTAATAGATGCAGGTAAGGACATTTAAATTTTATCTTTAATTTTAGTTTGCTACAATATTATTGATGGAGGTAATGGCTGTTGACCTTAATACTTTCTTGTAATTAACCAACTCCAATGAATTAGAACAGATTTGTGCTGACCAATTACATCTGTGTTGAAACCACTGCACTAGCTTGGTGTCTCGGTCAGAACTGAATTCCAACTTTTTACTTTAACTTATCGAAAAAAGAAACTGCAATCCCTTCCAACGCTATTTCAATTCAGATTCCATCTAAAGACACACCTATTCAGATGAAATATTAGCATGTACTGTACTATATAAATGACTCTATGAATCAATGGAACACAGTTCTTTCTGATTCTGTCATAGATAATTAAAATAACCCTATAGTAGCTGTATTTAATGTACAGGTATAATTTGTATTAAGTTATTGTTCCACCTTATCTATGTAGAGTTTTGTTTTATATAGAACCACCGAAGCCAGTAAATGACCCATTGGGAAGTAATAACATGCTTACTATAGTTGGAATTATTATTGGTGTATTGGTAATTGTTGGTATTATAACTGTTATTGGCGTGGTAATATACCGTAGAAAGGGTAAGTTATAGAAGTATTATTGGTATAGTAGTAGTTATTGTTGTGGTGATATACCGTAGAAAGGGTAAGTTATAGAAGTATTATTGATATATTGATGGCATTATAACTGTTATTGTTGTGGTGATATACCGTAGAAAGGGTAAGTTATAGAAGTATTATTGATATATTGATGGTATTATAACTGTTATTGTTGTGGTAATATACCGTAGAAAGGGTAAGTTATAGAAGTATTATTGATATATTGATGGTATTATAACTGTTATTGTTGTGGTTATATACCGTAGACATGGTAAGTTATTGAAGTATTATTGATATATTGATGGTATTATAACTGTTATTGTTGTGGTTATATACCGTAGAAAGGGTAAGTTATAGAAGTATTATTGGTATATTGATGGTATTATAACTGTTATTGTTGTGGTGATATACCGTAGAAAGGGTAAGTTATATAAGTATTATTGGTGTATTGATGGTATTATAACTGTTATTGTTGTGGTTATATACCGTAGAAAGGGTAAGTTATAGAAGTATTATTGATATATTGATGGTATTATAACTGTTATTGTTGTGGTAATATACCGTAGAAAGGGTAAGTTATAGAAGTATTATTGGTATATTGATGGTATTATAACTGTTATTGTTGTGGTGATATACCGTAGAAAGGGTAAGTTATAGAAGTATTATTGGTGTATTGATGGTATTATAACTGTTATTGTTGTGGTTATATACCGTAGAAAGGGTAAGTTATAGAAGTATTATTGATATATTGATGGTATTATAACTGTTATTGTTGTGGTAATATACCGTAGAAAGGGTAAGTTATAGAAGTATTATTGGTGTATTGATGGTATTATAACTGTTATTGTTGTGGTTATATACCGTAGACAGGGTAAGTTATTGAAGTATTATTGATATATTGATGGTATTATAACTGTTATTGTTGTGGTTATAACCGTAGAAAGGGTAAGTTATTGAAGAGACATGCTTTATTTTAATAATATAAATTCTTGAAATAACTACAATATCCAATATACAGTTGTTGAGTTTCAAGACATTAATAATTTTATATCAGTCATCTTATAGTTAAGATTAACAACCCTTGTTAGTTATGAGGCATAGCCTGCAGTTTGCATGATATCGATCAAGACTGTTTGTCATTCATTGTATTTTTTTTTTTACACAGCACAAAAAGACAGTTCCCAAGATAATGTGTAAGTATTTTTATAGGTTTTAATTCACAGTTCTTCGGTTCCCTTTTGTTTGATACAGAACTGACACAAGTTATTTAGCTCATGTTAGTCACAAGATATCATAATTATGCAGAGTGGATGTCACCCTCAATAGTTATATTTTAGTATTTTTGTAAACTCACGATTATGTTTCAGGCATAGATAGTGTCATTCATTGAAGGCTGTATGCGTTGGCATTTTTGGTGTCAAATTTGAAAATAGGTTTAGAAGTGAAAACGCCCTTAAGAATTTACTGAATTTTAAACACCATTATTCTTATATACTGGCGATCACCATCAAACTGAAAATTTATTAAACTGAAGTTCGACCGCAGAAAGAGATTATTACAATCCCATATATTGCTCATCAGTAATTGCTTATAAGGTTTCATCATTGATGAAAGACTGAACACTGATAGATCAATTGATTGATGATAGGTAGACTGATAGCTGATAGATCAGTTGATTGATGATAGGTAGACTGATAGCTGATAGACTGATTCTAATTTGAACATGCCCGATGGACGTTATTCTTTTACTAACAGGTGGAGACCTTAAAGTTCAAAGCAATAATGACTCTTTCAGTTTTAAAAAAAAATAGATATCACTGTATTTGTTTTATGCTTGCTTGTTATTTTGGTTACCATTTGTGTTTTTCGTTTTATTATTTTTTATTTTTTAGTCCCTCATCAAACAAAGGAAATAAAAGGCAAGATGAAATGGGTAATTAATATATTTTTTAATTATGTTTTGTTGAGTGTATGTAGATGAAAGATGTCATAAGTACCAACAATGCTGTAAATCCAGAAATTAGTGATTCATTGATGAATCATCCGATTTGAAATTCTTGTTTGCGTATTTTTACAAAATTTATTTTAGTGTGAAAAATATTTTTATTAAAGCAACATAGATTGGAAAATCCCAATCAATGTATGATAAAACTACAAGAAAGAAATGTTCCTAAATTACGTTCAGGCCCCAGTTTAACAAAACAAGCTCAAACTTAAGTTACGAATTTACTCAAATTGTTTGTCTTATTTTAACTAAAATATAACTCTTAAATAAAACTCTTAATGTGTGCAAAGGTTTGTGCTTCTGGACAAAAGTGTTTGGAAGTTAAGTAAATTTTTAACTTAAGTCTGAGAAGGCTTTGTGGAACCGTGACCTAGTTTAATTTGCCGTATATGCGTAATATGTAATTATTACCATTTCAGTTATTGATGACAATTTAACATATGAGGGCAGTGATCATTTATTTGGACCCCGGACTGGAGCAGGACCTGGAAAAGGTAGGTCATGATCGGTTTTTATTCATTTATTTATTATTAATAGTATTAGGAGTTTCATTTTTTTTACTGTATGTCATCACCCGTTGTTGTATAGTATTTCTATACCGATGAACTATTTATATAATAATAATAACATATAATTTGACCGATAGTTTACATTCCAAACACCACCCAAGGTACCTACATGTATATCTGATATTCTTGAATTGGTTAGTTGTATCGTTGATAACAAAGACTAAGGTTTAATTTCAATGATATATTTTTTATTTGTACAGGACAAACCGATAACATGTAAGTTATATATTATTCTTGTTTTATGTCCAGGTAATGATTAATACAGAGACTATACAGGTGGTGATAAGGCTATAGTCACCAATACATGTATAAAATATTAGACCGATTGGGCTAGTGTATGACTACGGATTAAAATTTCTAGATTTCAGTAGGTCAATAGAACTATAATTTATCGAAAATGTTTCAATGTCTCAACACAGAGTCCCCATACTTTAGGCATATCAGGCTACATGTGGGCCAAAACAAATTGTTGAAGAAAAGGTACTCCCTCATTAATTTCAACCTTTAACCATGTCCATACCTGTTTTAATTAACATACCTTAATCTATAGTTAGCGAGGGTTAGGGTTGGGTTCTAGAAACTTGTGTTGTGTATAGTTAGCGAGGGTTAGGTTTGGGTTCTAGAAACTTGTGTTATGTATAGTTAGCTATATTATTGAAGTGCTTGGGATGTGATCATGTTTTAAACATTTTTCTAACTTAAAACATCAATCTCTAGGTTATTAACACCTAGATGAGTTATACTGAATTGTTTTTATTATATTTTAGTTCGAAGGCATCTAACGTAAAGACAGGACAGGACAGTAAAATGGGTAATGTACTTCTTATTTTGTTTGATTGTTTTTAAATGAATTGTATTTGTTTGGAACACATTATTTCTATCTAGAATGTTTTAAAGTTCAGTTTTCTCAGTGGGGGGACAAATAATAAAAAGATCGCCTGCTACATAAATAATTCCGCTCCCTCCATACCCAACCATCCACTTCATCCCCGCCATTCTCCCTCAATACCCAACCATCCACTTAACCCCTGTCATGCTCCCTCAATATCCAATATCCAAATTCTGCCCTCAATACCCAACCCCTGTCATTTTCCCTCAATATCCAATCACCCACTCCATCCCTGTCATTCTCCCCTCAATACCCAACCCCTGTCATTCTCCCCTCAATACCCAACCCCTGCCATACTCCTTCAATATCCAACCACCCACTCCATCCCGGTCATGCTCCCTCAATACCCAACCCCTGTCATGCTCCCTCAATACCCAACCCCTGCCATTCTCCCTCAATACCCAACCATCCATTCCATGCTTCGATTCACTGTTATTACAATCCATTGTTTATATTTAAATTTGATCAGTTATCGATGATAATCTCTTGTGATCATATATTTGAAATACTTTTATTACAATGCTTGTTTTATATTTAATGTTTATTAGTTATCGATGATAATCTCTTGTATGAAGGAAGCGATCATTTATTTGGACCTCAAAATGGAAATGAATCTGAAAAAAGTAAAAAGCCCGCCAAGAAACCAGGTAGGGTAGTTTATCTTAGTTATTTAAGTCTGATAGACAGGTTAATTAAACACGAGCATCATTGTCTAGATGGTATTAATCCGATTCTATCAGTATCAAGATAACTGTAGGCTAATGCTAGCATCATAGTCTAGATGGTATTTATCTGATTCTACCATCATCAAGATAACTGCTAGTATACACATTATTTGATATACATGTTTTATCAGATCCTGAAGCTATCTACACAGCGGTTGTTAAGAAAAAGACTGGTCAAGATAATAAAACTGCTAGTGGACAGACAGGTAGACCAGCATGTTTTCTATTCTATTCAAGTATTGCACATATATTATATGGCCATATAATCAAGGTTTACTTTTAAAATATTCTGATTATGGTAATCTCACAAAAATTTCTGATAGAGCAGGTGTGATTGGGTAGACTCTCTTCACAATTCTTTTTAACCCAAATAATTGCCAAGACAGAGAGAGGATCGTTTGTATTATGTCCCTTTGTTTTTTTCTGTTTCATAATTTTTCATAATGTTCTATTTGAGTTTGTTCACATGAATAAAGTTTACAGGGGTATAACTTGCATAAGGCTCATAATGTTTTTAGTACTAAACTCTTGCACCTATAATTTTAGCCCATTTTATACCCTTTTATGTTAAGGTGACTCCTTGGTGTCCCCCCCCGTGCTTCCAACATCTTTGATACAGGTTTTTATTGATACAGCTTTCCATTGATACAGTTTTGTCGATAATATGTTAAGACTATGAATTACATTTTATTGATAATCTTGTAACTGTTGTTACTTTTGGTAAATTTGACTTTGTAGAATCTCGTGAACACTCTTTCGTTCAACTGCCATCTGTTTGAAACTCAAATACATTGTTTAAATTAATGACATAAAGACTACCTGTAGAGTTTCAACCATCTATGTTAAATATATCTGAAATAATGTCCCCAATGGTTAACTTTACAGAATCTTTTGAACACTCTAGCGACCCATGTTATTGTTGTTGCTTTTTAAATAGACTCAACTATAGCATAATGTATTAGACTGCATGTGAAAGCTATTGCAACACCATAGTTTACAAGTAAGATGTGGTGAAGAACGTCAAGTCAGATTATTAGATACCGTGCAAGGTTAGGATATGAAAGATGATGTTTGTAACATTGTTGTAATATATGTTATATTCACTGAACTATTAATTTGTCAAATATTTTTCTTATGAATTTATGAAAACGCAGATGTCAAAGCCAAACCAGTAGCTACAAATGTAAGTTATCTTCCTTCAAAACTATTTGTTGTTCAAAGTTAAAAATGGTGACGGAATAATAGATGTGTCTAATAGTCACTGAAGCTGTATACCAGAAAAATCTTTATGGATTTCAACATGTTGATACTGTATCTATTATTATATATGAGTGTGACCACACAGACTAATCGATACTGTATCTATTAGTATATATCAGTGTGACGAGAATACGGGGTTAGAGTAGTAGTGATATTAACTGATGGTTTAAAGTCTGTTTCTACAGTAGTGATAGTTAGATAGTCATAACCCCTGTTAAATAGCTGCTTCCAGTAGTAATACAAGGATGGGTTAGACAGTCATAACCCCTGTTAAATAGCTGCTTCCAGTAGTAATACAAGGATAGTTATAACCCATGTTAATTAGCTGCTTCCAGTAGTAATACAAGGGTGGGTCATAAAGTCATAACCCATGTTAATTAGCTGCTTCAGGGTTTGAGGACACCTCTATCTATGTCGTTATATATCATCAATCACATCTTATTTATGATTTTCTATTCTCATCCAGAAACCAACTATTAACAAGGAGGGACTGAATTATGCTGATGTTGTTTTCACGAACAAAACACCAGCTAAAGATGTCAAACCAGTTTATCATGAGGCGGTTGAGTATGCTGGTATACAGCCTGGTGTTCGAGGACCAACTCCACTACCTGTTTCTGATAGCAGTGATGATGATGACACACCGGCACCTGCAGCACCAGCACCTGGACCAAAGAAACAAATGAAAACTAAGAAGAAGTAAATTAAAGGATCTAGATGGGTAGCTTGATCTATCCCAATCTCTTTCAAATCTTAAACTTTTTGATTGATCAATAGATATTAAACATTCTGAGCATATCCAATTATGATACCAAAAACATGAACCAATGATAAAATTTTAGCTTCCTGACTGTGCAGGCGTGAGTTAAGTAAATCTTTCTACCCAGCCATGTCATCTCCATTAATTGATGGTGGTATTCTTGTTAATGATACTCCCTAAAATGCACAGAGGAATATTTTTCCTTGTTTTTATATAAAACAGTTGTCTATTGAATATCACCATGTAGATAATCAGGGTCTGGGTTTGTGCTATGTTGAGAATTATGAAAATGTTTCTGTTTTTCATTTCATCTTACAACCTGACAAGCTATTCTTTTCAAAGTTCATATTTTTTGTTACTAGACAACTTACATTTATTAGTTATTGTTTTAAGTGTATTTATCAAAAATTGTACTGTTATTTATACTCACTTCTTTGTTAAATAAGGATTGTCTTGGTAGCATTACAGTACACGGGGACCTGTACCTACCATATCACAGTCTAATGTACACCTGTAACACAATTACAAATATTTATAGTACAGTATATTATATATTGACATCAAATCACAAAGTACATATATATATAATATAATATATTATATATTGACATCAAATCACAAAGTACATATATATATAATATAATATATTATATATTGACATCAAATCACAACATACATATTATTAGCTTGGTATGGTGTAAATATATTGATTTATAACACAAGCGATTTGATTTATTATGTTGTTTTGTTGTCATGGTGTTGAATGGCCGAATGGTTAACGCGTGCGCGTTGGATAAGAAGGTCTATCATTGAGTCAAGTGGCGTTGTTTTGAATCTTCGCTTGAATGTTACAAGGAGTAGGGTAGACTGTTCAACCTCGTGGGTTTTCTCCGGATCCTCCGGTTTCCTCCCACTACTAAAGACCCCTACGTGCAAGCAAATGTTTGAAATAAAAAAAATGAATCATGTGTTGGTCCCGAAATGACCTAGTTTGTGTCGAGTGGACTTTAAACCCGGTCAGTGCAGACAAGTAGAACATTAAATTTTATTTATATGAAATACTCTGTTAGAGATCGTATTCAACAACTGACTGTTTAGGATCAGTATTGATCTGTGATTTGGTGGTGTTTTTATACTCTTCACATTATTCATTATGATATGATATATAAATACTTATTGCATGCATTACATATAAATACTTATTACATTTGTTTGATGTTCAAAGATGCATTAGTTTAGAGATTAATAAAGAGCTGGTCATTCTTGCTATAATAATTCAAAAATAGATGATAAAAAAAATAAAATATTGAAAATTTCATTGAAATTACTTCATTCTCAGCCAAGTTATCATTGTTTGTAGTTTTGACAAGATGTGTGCACATTGGTAACCAGGGCACTGGTATAATCGGGACTTAGCATCGCTTTCCCATTTTTAAATTAAATTTTTAAATAGCGAACCGTTTTAGTCTAATTAAAATCTCAGGTATCCGATGCCATCGAGAGTTGATTATGGTCTTGTTTTGTCAATTAATGTCTAATTAATAGTTTATATAACATTTCAGGCCTAAAGAAAGACTTGCAATAGGCAGATTTAGCTCTTGCATAATGTATCTTTAAGTTTATAATTTTGTTTAGGCTTACTATTTTATCAGTTGAATGTTACACAGGTTTGACACTACTCATCAATGTTTTAAAGTTTTACAGGTTTTACACTAGTCTATGTTATATTTTATAAATAATTTGTAATAATTATTTCTACTCAGCAGTATTATAATGTTATAATGATTTATTTATATGTAGGTGTATTAAATACAATATGTTAATATATATGTAATAATGTTAAGATCAGGTAATTACAATGAAGATACTAGTCATACCCATATGAAATCAATATAAATATTTTTCAGGTAATTACAATGAAGATACTAGTCATACCCATATAAAATCAATATAAATATTTTATAGATTGTTTGTTTATTGTTAACTTTGTAATCTTTTATAGGCATAATGCTGTATCCGTTATTTAAATATATAAATGATATTAGATTCATATTATTCATTTATAATATATACATATTAATTACATTTGTTTTAAATTGTTTAAGTTTATAATTTTGTTGAGGTTTACTATTTTATCAATTCAATGTTACATATGATTTCTACAAGTTTTACAGGCTAGTCATCAATGTTTCAGTAGGTAAATAGTACTATACATGTATATTTGCTATAAATGATATACTCTCACAATATTTGTATTTTTAACTATTCTTGTGGTTATTTCCCTTTAGTACAGGGATACTAAGGTTTATTAAACATGACGTCTATAACTCAACTGGAATGTTGCAGCTAATAACCAAGGGTAATCCCCAATAATTGATATGGGCACCAGATGCATAGAATTTGGGTAACGGGTAATGCCCTATAATTGATATGGGCACCCGATACATAGAATTTGGATAAAGGGTAATCCCCGATAATTATTAAACATGACGTCTATAACTGAACTGGAATGTTGTAGCTAATGACCAACAGGGGTAAAGGGTAATCCCCCTTTAATTGATATGGGCACCGGATGCATAGAACTTGAAACTCTACAGTAAAATGTTTATATTTCAATCAGCTGATATAACATTCCATAGATAAATAATATTTGCATAATAATATTTGCATAATAATATATTGGAGTTTATATTATTTCTTTTCTCAAATTTTTCTAATTTTGCTTACTGTATAATTATATTGTTCAATTTTGTTTAGAATCCACTTGTGTTATCTGATATTTTTGTAGAGTTGTAAAATAATATATTGGAATTTGTATTGTCTTTATTCTTCCACTTAAACCTTTATAATATTGCTTACTGTATAATTATTTTGCTTACTGTATAATTATATAATTATATTGCTCAATTTTGTTTAGAATCCGCTTCTGTTATCTGATATTTTTATAGAGTTGTATAGATATCATTAGTCCCGCATGATATGTTCAGAGTTAATATTGATTCCACATGACATGTTCAGAGTTAATATTGATTCCACATGACATGTTCAGAGTTAATATACATGACATGTTTAGGGTTAATATTGATTCCACATGACATGTTCAGAGTTAATATTGATTCCACATGACATGTTCAGAGTTAATATTGATTCCACATGACATGTTCAGAGTTAATATTTAAGACTTATCATAGTTTGTATTTAGACCTTTAGCACTAAAACTGAATTCTTCTATTGGAACCCGTACTGCTGATATTGAAATTAATTATTCCATATGTTACCAAATATCCATTACATTTACTGATGAATTTAAAAGACATCGCCTTTTCAGTCACTGGTAATATCAGCATTACTGGGGTCGTATCCAGTCACTGGTAATATCAGCATTTACTGGGTTCGCTCGTATCCCGTCACTGGTAATATCAGCATTACTGGGGTCGTATTCAGTCACTGGTAATATCAGCATTACTGGCGTCATATCCGGTCGATTTAGAACAAGCCATAGTTATACAATGTATAACCAACAGCCATGTACAGAAATTGTGAAATACTTTTATCTAAAATAGAAAATTTACCGTACATCTTTAGAGTCTCAATTTAACTACTGATCTTAAATATATTTTGTGGTCCTGTGTCCAGGCTATTTGACCAGTGACTCACCTGTGTCCTGGCTATATGACCAGTGACTCACCTGTGTCCAGGGTATTTGACCAGTGACTCACCTGGGTCCAGGCTATTTGACCAGTGAATCACCTATTTCCAGGGTATTTGACCAGTGACTCCCCTGGATCCAGGCTATTTTATTAAAAATACACTTGATATTTTCTATTGATACTCAGCTTACTAAATCAAATTTCATATTTAGTCATTTGTCATACTTTTTGATATTTTTATGTTTTATTATATTTTGATATTTTAGCTTTATAACTGTCTGCATTATTATTATATCGTTCATTATATATTTTTACTATTTTATTATAAAATAATTATTCATAATAATCGTTATTTATTTTTGCTAATGAATGTAATATTCACATATTTACCCCCCCCCCCCCGCCCAATGTACTGAATAGTCACCCCCTGTTATAGTTGTGGCACTGCTTTCCACGATGCAATATGTTGTCCATGGTTGCAGCACAAGTGCTAAGTTCGTGCTGATTGACAATAGTTTCAAACGGAATTTGTTTAAGAGTGAATCGTTTGACTCCTGTGTGATATCCAACCTACCCGCCTTTCAACACCTATAGCCTTTCGTGTATATTGTCTGAGACTTTGCTGGAGTTACCCTGTTAACTCTATCCATTGCCGAAAACCTTGTGAACGTGATAAAAATTACATTTTGTTATGGGATTTGATATGAAACTTTGAAGAACCGTATCAGTATTCAGCATTCGGTGGTCCTGCATTCCGGAGTTATTCCCACTTCTCAATTCAACACTTGAAAAATTGTATTACATGGTTACCGCTTGTATGACTTAAAATGTCTGTTTTATTAGACCTGCCCTGTCTGCTGCTTGACAAAGTATATGATACGCATTACATACAATATACATGTCTAAAATGTTGGGTTTTTTTGTTTATTTTTAATAATCACTAAAAATACGGAAAACTGGTTAAAAAAAATAAAACCAAGTACGAACAATCCAAACCATAAGACAGAATTCGAAGTCCTAAAAAACGTTATAGGCAAAATAGTGTATTAAAGCAAAATAGTGTAACCAGCAAATGGACTATTCCTCATGTACAAAATACACGACAAACAGTGGTAACAGGTGTCCGGAAGAGTAAGCTTACCCTGCCTGGCGCCACACTCGCCATAGCTGCATCCAAACTATTAGGCGAAAAGTCGGTAAATATATCGTGATTGGCCAATGAACTATCGGTATGCAAAATGCACGCGATGAACTGTGTTAACGATGTAGTAGACATTATCAGGGAGATAGTAATAGTATTCGTGTCAATTAAATATATCTAGAATAATAGCCGAGAGAGACACGTTATATTTACCAATCAAATCAATATGACGGCCATAAAACTTTTTAAAGGTTTTAATAAGTTTAGTGCGCAAGTATCCTTGTAGTTGAAGCTTAGATGACAAATGCCTCGATCTACTTAAAAAATCAGAATAAAAGGAACAAGCTCTCGCGTAACGAATTATCTGAGACACAAACACTCCATAAGCTGGTGATATTGGAATGTTACTACTAATAAATGGAAAGTTAACAATCGGAAAGTCAAAGTCATCAAGTTTATCGTACAATTTAACACTCATTTTATGGCAATTGTCAAAATCGAGACGCAGATCCAAGTAGGAAGCGTAATTGTCACTGTCAGTGGTGTTTTTAATTTCGAGCTCATCAGGATATATGAATTCTACATAATCACTAAATTTAGGATTATTAAGTGAGAAAACGTCATCGATATATCGATAGGTGAAATTAAAAAGTCTGACTGATCGTTTATTAGTTTTTACGAGCGTCTGTATGTAATCGGCTTCCTACGAATAGAGAAATTGATCAGCAAGCAAATGTGCACAGTTGGTGCCCATGGTGTTGCCAACCACTTGCTGATATATTTCCTCTCCAAATTCAACAAAGATGTTATCAATTAAAAAATCCAACATCTGTATTATCTTGATGGCCGTGAATTTGTTTTTGGAATCACTGTGATTCTTAACGAAATGTGTAGAATTGTAATTTACAACTAAATATTGATATCTAGCAGTACCTGATTTAGAGGAAAAGACACTGTGAATAATTTCTTTCAACCGGGCTTTTAATTTACTATGGGGAATTTTAGTGTACAAAGTAGAAAAGTCAAACGTTTGAATAGATGAGACTGAGGCAAGGGATCTAGATTGCAAACCATCAAGTAATTCTTTGGAATCTGTTCACGTTAATAAGAATAATAAACCCATCATTATACAGGATTAGGAAATAAATCATAGTAACTAAACGAATATACAATTTGATGCATGTGGATAACAGTTTGCAATAATTTAATAGTATTCTTAGTTCAAAAGATTGCAGCAATAGTGGAAATGTGAAAATTGTAAGTATAATACTTTATGTATCAACACAAATAAATAAAAAGTTTAATAAATATATAAATAGCAATAACCAAGCATTAATCTATTTCCAAGATTCTGATGCAAGAGTGCGCCATACATTAATGGTCTACATAAAAAACGTGAAAATAAAATATAAATGAAATAGTTTCTGTTTATTCAATTAAGTAATATTAGATTTTACCAAAGGCAAGTAGGGTGCATTAACAAAATATCAGTCAAATTAATGAACCTAATTAGTTATAACTACCCATGTGGTCACCCTTTCACTTCAGTTTTTATATCCTGATAGGTTTTGATAGGGATTGAGTTGTTGTTAGTATTGGGTTGTTGATCCATAGTTTGTTTATCCAGTACCTCATATGGTGATGTTGTTATAGATATGTTGATATAGTCAAGGTTAACAGCATCTCTAGTATTTGTTGCATCAACTCGGTCATAAACTGGTGGTATATGAGTCAAGGTAACTTGTTGTATATCAGACAAGGTAACTGGTGGTATATCAGACAAGGTAACTGGTGGTGTATCAGACACGGTAACGTGTGGTATATCCGACAAGGTAACGTTGTCTGTACCACTGGTTGTATCATTAGCCACCGTTCGGTCTCCTGTAGAAAAACACAGGATTAATTTATGAATATAGAACACTATGGAGACAATCCTAGTACACATTTAACTACATAAAGACTACACTGTTGATTATAAGATAAATTCCAATTATAATATGTCTACATGAGATAAATGTCAATTACAATATGTCCACAGAAATTATCCCAGCACTTACTGTTGAACTCGTTCTGATGTATTATTGTTAGGGTTCACGATATACCGAGATAACACCGTCAGACTTACACGACCCAAACTTCAAACAGAACCGTACCTGGGTTGATTACATTTCGACCAGTCTACATTACTGTGTATCTGTGAAGTCGAATAACAGCCACACGGACGTCGTTAGTGAAGTCATTAATCATCACAGCTGACCTTTGTATGGTCAAGTAATCTGTAGTGAAGATTTGATCTGGCAATAGATAGATGTGTAATCTTGTGACATGCTTTATCTAGAAAGGGTTTATAAGCAGAAATGAAAAGTAGATAGGACAGAGTGGAGGCCATGGGCGCTTTAGACAGAGGGACTAGGCGAGGGCGTTGAGAAGTTAACTTGGGACCAGCAGGTCTCGAGTTAAGACCAGACATGGTCCATGTAAGTTAGTCGGGAGTTGGCACCCAAGGGTGTCAAGCCACGCTAGGACCATGGCTCCCTCAACATAAGCTAATTATGGAGTCCTGAGTTTTGTACATCTGTTTAAAGTAGAATAAAAGTATTGTATGAAGTCAAATCAGTGTTGTCGTCAAGAACCTAATATAAAGACCCAATACTGTAACATCAAAATAAAAAAGTTTGTTTTAAAAGGTTAATGAAAATGTAATGCCTCAAGAACAAGAGAGAAAATAGTTACAAACTAAAACGTATTACCTTTTATATTTATAAAGCAAATTCTCTGTCCACGTTTCGTCATGATGCACCAGAGTGAAGCGGTGGCAATACCCAAAAACAAGAAGACAGATGGCCAGGCAAATAGCTGCACCAACAGCCCGTTCTCTGGAAATAACGACATCATTACAAAACATGCCCCCGTCACCTTGTGACGATACCACCAGGTTAAATAGAGTAGATCTGGTACCAAGACTATTATTAATATAAACTATATATTTGCCACTATCATCTTCTGTAACATCTTGTATAGTTAATGTTGATGATAGACCATCATCTTCTTGTCTAATACTAAAATCTGTAATCAGTTGTTTACTGCCATCCTGTAGTTGATAATACCAGCTATATACAGGTAGTGGATAAGCTAAAACATGGATTGATAAAATACCTGTCTCTCCACGTCCTACAGATATAGTAGTTTTAGTTTGTTGGTTAGGATCAAGAATAGGCACACCTGAAATGAAATAAAAGTATTGTTACTAAGACGTCTGAAAAAGGTCCTTGACTGTAAATCAAACATGAAAACATCTTCATACTCTCAATAAGTCGTTATGGAAACCGAAATACGGGTTGGGTGTCAAGGACAATACACCGGCTGTTCTTGAAAAAGTAAACATACACGAACTGATAAATTGAGCGATGGTATGGATATTGATTTATGACCGAGACTGGAAAATAATCACTGAGTCACTACCCCATTGATTTAGATGGATGTTAGCTGTAGGAACTCCACACACACACACACACGTGTTGCTCAAGACGTTTGATGGAAGACCTTAAACACTGATATCAGGGGTAAACATCATCAGTAGAAATCACAAATTAGTTAGACATGCGTTATTTCTAGTATGGATAGAAAATAATTACTAAGACATTGGTGACTATCAATTAACACCAAGAACATGTACTTACATCTAACATAGAGTAGAATTACCCCTCATCCAAGCATTATGTCAAGGATGAGGGGCATTATTGAAGTGAAGCCGGAGGCTTAGCATGTATATTCAGCATACTATTCTAGTATCGAAAGTGTTATCGCTCTTCAAAGTGAAGGTAAAAACAGTCATCACATGACCAAACATTCGTATTTATTCAGCAATAATCCCGGTAAGCAATCATTATTTAATGATACTCCGTTTGTTGTCTTGTTCCAAAAATAGGGAGAGATAATCTGTGGGCGGGAATATACATGCTAAGCCTCCGGCTTCACCTCAATAATGCCCCTCATCCTTCACATAATGCTTGGATGAGGGGTCATTATTTCCCGTAAAGCCTTCGGCTTTTCATATATATTCAGCACCTTTAAAGAAAGACAACAACACTACCACTAAACATTTTATTTACATTGTTATGATCGTACAGTAGGCCTAGCTAATTGTCGCCAAATACAGCCCTGGAGTAATCTGATGTGTTCTGTTCAACATCCCTCAAATAAAATTTCTTAAAAATTTTCGCAGATGACCAATCAGCAGTTCTCAGAATTTCCTGTAAAGTACACCCATGAATAAAAGCAGCAGACACTGATGCTGATCTAAATGAATGGACCTTAAATTTATCATCAATACCAGATGCAGCTAAGACATCTTTCAACCACCTAGCAACAGTACTAGTTGTAACAACCTTATATGTACAGTGTGAATTCAAAAGCTGGTCTGACAAACGATTATTCTCAGTTTTACTTACATAAAACAATAAAGCGTGCATAACACACAGACTCTCATTTTCAAAATAAGACAGAACCATCTTGAATTTAGTATCTCGACTAGTTTTCAACAAATTGGTAAACATAAATTCAACTTTACCTTTTAGAATATTCATGTTAGAAAGTTTCAATGCTACAAGAGTTTGTGATCTCGGAGCATTAGACAAAGCTAATAAAGCCACAAGTTTATAAGTTAATAATTTTAATCCCAAACTTTCAAGAGGCATTAAAGCCGACAAATATCTCAATACTACGGAAACAACCCATGTAGAATCGTATTTCGGCTTAGGTGGACATTTATTAAAAAAAAACCTTCATAAATCTAGCTATAAACCTGTTTTTTGGTTTTTTTTTTATCATCACAAGAGTACATATTTGGTGAAAGGTGTGTTCATATTTGATTGATTAATTGACATTATATTGCATATTATGATATACACGTATTCCAATGCATGTAGCATACTGAGTACTGTAGGCCTAGAACTTAAAGTAGATCTATAGGTATACGTCTTAAGGCTATCTAGCTTATGATAATATGACCTCTCGCTCTAACTTGTCGAACCTAAATCAAATCAAGGTAATTTCGGGACTAACATGGTTCAGTTTTATTTCAATAATTCAATTGATGGGTCTTTTTTTTAGCAGTGACTGAGTGAGAGGAAACTGAAGGACCCGAGGTTGGACAGGCGACCCTACACCTGTCGCGTACAAGCGGGGAATCGAAACCACGCCACTTGAATCCATGACATGTCATAGTCATATGTCTAATAAACGTATTAATACCTGGGGTTTTCACACCAAGAGTTATTGAATAATTTGAGTGTTTGAATCAACATAGATTTATGTGTATTAATCACACTATACGATTTCCCATTTTCTATAAGTAAATCAAGATAGGCAAGCATGTCTACTTCAGAGGTATGAATGGGATTATAGCCCCTAGATTTACACCAAATAACCCATTTTTGCCAGGCCAAATCATATTGTTTGTTGGTTCCTGTACGCCAAGAGTTGATGATAACTTGGATGATAACTGACTCTGAAACTCGTTGCATCTTAAGTAATTTCCAGATACAGTCACTGGGGCTAAAGACATTGACTTGCCTCGAGGATGAACTTCCTGGCTGTGTGGCATTATACTAAAAAGTCCTTGTGTCGTGGTAACCTAATTGGAAAAGAAATTAAACACGACATTATTGAGGGAAACCACGGCTGAGAAGGCAAGTCTGGTATGATTATAATTGCTTTTTCTTCTTTATCAGATATAACTATGTTAATTACCATACCTATTACCGAAAAAGGCGGGAATATGTATGGATTTAAATCACTCCATGTGAATGAAAAAGCATTATTCTTATAAGCACCTGGTTCCGGGAGCCAAAAAACAAAGACATCTATTTGAAAATAAATTGAGTCTCGACACAAACAAGTCTATGTCTGGATGAAAACATTGATCACAAATTCTGTGAAAAATCTGAGTTTTTAACATCCATTCAGTAGAATCAGAAAAAATTCTTGAATAAAAATCAGCTTGGAAATTAAATTTTCCAGGTATAAACTTAGCAGATAAAAAAGATATTCCTATTAATACACCAGTTCCAAACATCTTTAGCTAATTCGTCCAAATGAATTGACTTCATGCCATCAAAATTATTTATATAAGAGATTGCAGAAGTATTGTCCGAATAAACCTCAATATGAATATCCCTGCAATTCGAATAATGGGCTTGTAACCCATAAAATATGGCTAATAATTCCAAATAATTTATGTTGTTATTTGATTCAGCAAGTGACCATCTACCGCCAAAAACAATATCAGATATGGGAAGATGCGTCTGTTGTAATAAAGACATGTGGATTTCCTTGTCTAATAGTCTTGCCATTTTTAATTTCAGTGTTATTCAGCCACCAAACAATGTCATCGATGCCTAGATCAGACAATAATACAGTATTATCATAATTCATATTACATCCAAGTCCTCTTATGTTATCTCTTTCTAAACCTCTATAATTACATGTAACACTGCTTCTTGTACAGCATAAAATGCATTAATTATTAAACCAATAAAAGAAGCCAGAATTCTGACAGAGATGTGATAGTTTTTAGACTTGATGAAATTAGCATATTTCAAAATCTTTTTAATCTTATCCTCAGTCAGGAAAACTTTAAATTTCACAGAATCAATAATGAACCCAAAGAACACAATAGTCTGCTTTGGTATTAGACTTGATTTACCAGTATTAATTGTATATCCCTAAAGAGCATAATTTATTTTTGATCACTACTGTATCCTTAGAATATTGCTGTTCATCTTGATTCATAATAAGAGAATCATCAATATAATATGTACACCGAATAACTTGATAACGGAACCAAGTATATATTGGTTTTAAAATTTTGGTAAAGACCCGAGGAGCCGAAGACAATCCAAATGGTAGACAGACAAACTGATAAAATATATTGTTCTAAACAAATTTTAAAAATTTCTAATACTCCTTATGTATAGCAATACTAAAATATGCATCTTTAAGATCTATTGAAGTAAAAAAGTCTCCCTTTTGCAATGTATCAAGAACAATCTGAAAAGTTTTTTGTTTAAAATGTTCGTACAGAACAAACTCATTTAATGGCTTTAAAGATGGGTTCCCAGAAAAGTATTTATCGGGTGGTTATTTCCAATAAAAGTATGGCAATATTGGTATATATGGAAAGTAGAGATATCCAATCTTACTAGAAAAATACTGTATTCCCCGAAAAACACTCATGGAGCGTATACAGGACAAAAATGTAAGGGTTCCCCTAATCAACAGCCCGACGATTAAGCATTTCTGCACGCGTGAGGCCAAAGGTCACACACGAACATTGAGCGCTTAATGTACAAGTTGATAAACTTTATGAAAAGTTAGACGTACAACACTTTCTGAGATAAAAATGGCGGAAAAAGGCGCGGGTAGTGGATAATCCGAGAATTTAATTAGGATTCGATATTTGTAATAAATAGTAAGCGATTAAAGACAACATCGTCTTATGTATGCAATGAATTCTCCTCTGATTTCCAAGACGTGACGTAAACATGACCTGGTTTGATCGAATTTTTATAGCAGGGCATTCCTTCGCAATTACAATGTTTGAGAAGGATTTGAAGCATAATTATGACAAATTAATTAGTTTGAATATGTTTTTAGTCCATATATACCATTAAATCACCCAGTTTGTACGCGGTAACCCATCTTTAAGTTTATAACAGGACGAAATTTACCATTAGGCTTCGGAACAATAAATAAATTGGACACAAACTGACCTTTTTCCCAAACAGAGGGAATGATAGCCCCTTTAGATAGAAGTTCACTAACCTTATTATCGATTATTAATCTAAATTCATCTGAAAAATTAATAACATTAGGCAAACACAATTGAATCACTTTATTAACAAATTCAATTTTATATCCACAAATAACATCCAAAATCCATGGATCGTTTGTCAGTTTATGCCACACATCAAAATGGAATTTCAAATACCGACGACCTCTTCTTGAGCCCCTGTAATTGGTGTATGGCTAAAATCTATTACTATTATTATAATTATTATATCGCCATTGACCCCTGTCTCGGATAGCCTGACCACCGCGGGAGAACCTCCTTTTACCGCGGAAAGACTGATTGAGGTTTTCTCTATTATTTGTAACAGAGAATCCTGTGTCACATTTCCGAATTTCTTTAGAAATATCATCTCCAAACAAATAGCTTGTTATAGGTGTATTTATATTACATATATTAGAATATTTCTTTTTAAGACAAGGACGAATGAGATAACGACGCCCCAGAGACAAGTAGTATTGAACTTGTCCAATTAAAGTAATTGAATCAGAAATCAATCTCTTTGCAGTGTCATTACCCGAAATTTGATTTTTTAGAAGTTCTGCCAATTTTACTATTGGAACAATACCGGTAGCAACTAATTGCTGTATTTCCCTGAAACTTTTATCATAGGAATGGCTTTTTGCATCTATCTCGTTCCATATCTCATGGTTAACTAAAGGCGGCGCTAGCATTCCACAATTGCCAGGTATTTTATATCATCAGTAGAACACTGCGACGTGCACGCCGTATTAATCAAATCAGCCAGACTGAGAAATGTTCTCGCCTCTTTGTGGAGTTTTTAGCTTAGGTAAGGGCCAAAAATCATCAGACACGCTCAGTTCATTATTTGTTGTATCAAATAAAGCGCCACTAATTCTCCCACTAACAGATACAGGACTATTGTCAGCTTTGTGAGGTATGTTGTCAACTTCTACCTTTAAATTAGGCATATTTGACACATTCTCATATTCATTAAATGCGAAGTCATCTTCCTCTAATTCAAAATCATTATTCACCTGTGAATCGACCAAACCCAATTTACATTTTAATGCAGCTATATCTGCCTCAGACAAATTATCAAAATCAATCAAATTTGGTGTGTTTTTAATAAGTTTAGTCGTGTAAACAGGTCTCACCTGTGACGTCGTGTCTGAGTGCGACTGCACCTTCGTACATATCGGTTCAGTAGCAGTATTGACAACCTGAACCACAGATTTTATTTTACCTGATTTTCTACCCCTGGCTTTATTAGATTTAGAAGGTATAGTCTTCCATACCTCTGCAGGTGGTACAAAACTAAACGACTCAGAATCAGCTTCTGGGTCGATAAAAGATAGGACATCGTCCATATCGGTAGCCATTGAACAACGTTCAACCAGTAAAAAATGAGTGAAAACTCAAAAGTATGGAGCTAACGTCCACACTAGCACGAAATCTACAGGATCTTACTATCCATGCGATCGCTAGAATAATAATGATTGCTTACTGGGATTATTGCTGAATAAATAAGAATGTTTGGTCGTGTGATATTTTAGAGGTGTAAATTCTCTCTTCGGATATAACAGACTTCGAATGATTCTTCAATTCTTTAATATACCGGAACATAAATATACATATATCGTCATACAGTACTGACAGGCCAGTTACTGCACTTAGTAAGGGATCCTTACTAGTGACTGCCTTCAATGTACAAATTTTGTAATATTTAAGGAAAATCAGATAAAAAGATAAAAGTAAATGTAATTAAAACTGACATGTCGATAGATGAACAATGCATAAAAGATTAAACAATATAATAAATCAACAAAAACAATAGATGGGATTAACGTCGTTACCAATTACGGGTTGAAAAGTGGTGACAGGTTAACGACTTACTAGGAAGTTGACCTTAAAGTGGTTAATTTAAGAAGCATTAATTATATACGCGATATCAGATTATCACACCATTATAATTTCCTGTGTTTTAGAAAAGACGCGTCCCTGCGTCTTAATTAACGATACGAAAGAAATGATATTTTATATTAAATATTGAATTCGTAAAGTTAAACAATCGAGCAAGAGAGAAACAATTTGAGCCGAACACGAATACTGACTGTAGCTAAGATTATCACACTATTACAATTTCCGTTGTTTTAGAAAAGACGAGTCCCTGCGTCTTAATACACGACATGAACGAAATGATACATTACATTGTTGAATCATGGAATCAGGTAAATAAAAAGATGACATTAAATATTGAGTTCGTTATGTTTGAAGTCCCAATCAAGGATTAACAAAATACACAAACGGGCAACATTGGTATAATTCAAGAAGCAAACACTAATAGTACTGTCTACAGCCAGGAAATTTAGATCTCCATTTCCAGTTAGATTCCCATTCATAACTATTATAGCTTTCCACGGGCACGACTCCTAGATTAAAATCTCCACATTGTTGTCTTACAGTTTTTGCACATTCCCAGTATGTCCCTCGTTTGGTTTGTATTAGGTATTCATGGTCATCCGGATTGCCTAAATATCGCTGTCGTAGAATGTTTCCAATCCGAACTTTAAGGTTTGGCATAATACTCCTGTGCTCCCCCATCAGCGCCATCAGCGTCACGAAGGTGTCGTCGCGTTTCAGATGTGGCAACCCTAAAATGTCGATATCTTCGCCGTACATGCTATCGTTCATCTAAGATTCTGTTTTAGAAAT